TCTCATATTGGTTGATGAATAAAACACTGTTGACCAATAAGGAAGCAAGATAGGTGGGACTAGGAGACAAGGAGGATTCTGGGAAGTGTAGTAGGAGAGAGGTCACCATGTGATTCCCAGAGGAGAGGACACGAGTCTGGCGTTCTCGGTAAGATAAAACCATGTAGAAATACATATATTAGTAGTTATGGGTTAATACTTAAGACAGAACTAGCCAATAAGGAATCCTAGTCACCAGCCAACAACTTTATATTTAATAATGTATCTCGTTTGTTATTTGGGGGCTGAAGTGCGTATGGGACCTAGGCGGCTGGCGGGAAACACCAAACCCCAAGAGGTTGAGAGCATCACTACATAACAAAGCCACAACCTTTGGATTGGGAAACCAATGTGCAAGTAGCAGGAACTAGTATGTCCCACTTTTAGTGCCCTCTGCTCACTGCAGCTGGGCATTGGCTTCCTTGAGTGAAATATAGCAGCTGCATGGTTCTCTCTTCTCCTCTCTACTTTTCTGCTTTTCAGATTCTAAGGTTTGACAGGCCAAGCTCTGTGATTCTCCATGAAACTTAGGGTGATGTAGGCATCTAAATTAAAATAAAGGGTGCCCTGTTTTCTAGTGGTAACTATGTATGGTCACCCTTGTCCCATCCCATCTTGGATGCTGATGCTCTGCAGTTGAACAATGTGGGTGACATTGTTTGTTCATTGTTGCCTAAAGTGGCCATGGGTTAGAATTATTATACTGGTGGCCTGTAAAGGCACTCAATGTTCCCTCTTCAAACTTGGGAGACGCTGAAGTAACTTGATCAAATACCAGCTCCTACTGCGTAAACTGAGCCCTGTTAAGGTCAGACTTACTGGACCTTGATATATGTGTGTGAAGACTTTAAGGCTTTTGTTGAATTTGGAACACATCTTTGTTTGCACACAGGTCAAATTTCAGAGGTTTTGGGGAGATATTTGGCAATAAGGAAACATTTTTCTTTAAAAATCATGTTTTAAATGGTAACTCAGTTCTCAAGCCAGTCCACAAAAAAAAGTCCCAGGGAGAAAACCTTACTTAAGCTTCAATATTGTTTTGATGGCATGAAACTATGTATTTCTAATAAAAATAATAATATCCAGGACAATGGCCATATGAGTGATTATAAAACATAGAAAAATTATTTGTTTACTCTGTGATATTTAGTATTTAGGTAGGGATAGTTTTCTTTATATAGAGGGAAATGGGAAAGGGCGTCTATGTTTGGTAGACTCTAAGGGAATATCTACATCATTTCAAAGGCTTTATATTTGGTGGCTCTGGTTTTCTGTAGTGGGTGGCCTAGAAAATGCTTCTCAGGAAATCTGGTTTCTTTTCCGTAAGTATGTGAGAGAATCAGGCATGGAGGGGCGCCCTGTAATCCAAGGAGCCAGGAGCCAGAGGTGGGAGGATGAAGAGTTCGCGGCCAGCTTGGGCTGCATAGTGAGAACTTGTGTCAAAACAGAGCAGAATAAAAGAACAAAACAAAATAATAAAAGCATGCAGCAAAGCTGGTTAGAAGGTTGCACTGAGACAGCAAAGTCAAAAATCTTCTCAACTGTAAGTGAGCACAGTCAAGGATTTACATGAGAGAACACGTTGACTAGGATGTGTAACTGAGCACAGAAATGGGATGGTTACTAAGAGGAAATTGTTTGAATGGTGGCACAAGATGGACTGCTCAGGGACACAGATGTTTCGAGAGCCACTCCCCACCTGGAGCTCTCCTTATTCAAGCATTGTAGAGAAGGCCACAGTTGATGTAGAGATCCCAAGCGTTGACAATAAATGACCATTGAGTGCTCAGCCCCAAATGGGAAATCTATATCATCAACTAACCCACTTCAAATCACTTCCTAGCCTACTTCTAGCACTTCCAGATGCAGAGCTTGTGGAACACTGCAGAAGAGGTGGTGAAAAGAGTGCAAGAGCTGCAGGCTGGGAAGAGTGCTGTGAAAAGATGTCCCCTTGACGTGACAAGGCACTTGCACTTGCCTGCTCAAGGTCAAGCCACTTAAAACTCCAGCATGGATGGAGAAGGGGGCTGTGAGGCTCACCCTTAGAAGATGAAATATCAACAGTTGAGGCTTTTGAGTGGGGTGTCAATTTTCTTTGGAGGTGTGGTCACTGGTAGACTGCCCATCCTCTGGTGGGCATCACCAACTAGATCCAGCAGGTTTCCTTTTGAAAGGTATGTGTGAAGGTACATCTGACAGAGGATGTTTAACACTCTTTAGAGGAGCTTCTTTGGCATGAAATGGGAACTTACACAGAGACCCACAGCTGGACAATGGGCAGAGAGTGAGAGACTTTAGAACATTCATCTCAAATCTCTTCCCTCAAGACTAAAGAACTGGCTGAAAGATTATCAACGCCAGAGGTAGTGGATGGCTCCAAAGAAACAATGTCTTCTAGGCACAATAGGGTTGATGCAATATGAACTCACAGTCTGTGACAGCACGTACAAGACCTCACAAGTTCAAGCCAGAAACACAGCATGAGAAGGGGAAATGGACACCAAGTCTTATCCATAACCAAGAAGCTGTTTGCAAGTGATACCTGCTGGGAGAAAACTGACTTTTTCCTAGTGAACACTGGGTATATCATCCACGCTCCAAAGCAGGCCACATGCTCAGGAGTAGTTGACCAACGTAAGATAGACTCCATGGTATCACAGACAGATGCCCTGGGCTTGGTGCTGTATGTAATACCAACACTGTGGAGACTGAAACAGATGTTTCCTGGAATGCACTGGACAGATGGGCTGGCTGGATAGGAAAGCTCCAGGTTCAGTGAATACCTGGGATGATGGAGGAAGAGACCAGTGATGCTTACCTCTGGTATACACACACACACACACACACACACACACACACACACACACACACACACACACACTCACATACTCACTCACTCACAAATGTGCTGTCAATTAGCCTTGATATTGACATTTTAAGATTTTTAAGCCTATGTGTTGAAAATCTTGTAATTTGTTTTTCACTAATTTCTACTCATACTTAATACAGAACAAATTGTTTTCCTTTGCATTGTCAAGGAAGGAATAACTTACTGAATAAGTTAATAAATGTCACTAGTCTATTAAATATCTTAAGAGAAAAATAATATTCAGGTACTCTAAACTATAAGTGCTGCTGACATAAAAATAAAGGTTATCATTTCAATGTCTACTTATTACCAAGACAGTTTCTTTGAAATTTCTCTTGGAGCATGCTAAATTTTGTTAAAGCATATGAAGGAGACTAGGAAAATGGCCCAGGGGTTGAGAACACTGGCTCCTCTTCCAAGACAATTTGGGTTGTTCCCAGAACCCATCTGGTAGCTGAAAACCATTCCTGGCTCCAGTTTCAATGGACCCAATGCCCTCTTGTGATCTCTACAGGCACCCAGCAGGTATGTGATGCACATACGTATATGCAGGCAAAACTCTCCTGTGCATATATCAAATCTTTATAAAATATGTTGAGAACATAGCTTAAGAATTCATGCATTATTCTAATTAAGCTACTTTAAGGAGCTGTTGCTTCATATTGTCATAAAAACTTATATTCAGTTTTCACAGATTGAAAGTTTTTTTTTAAAGAAGCATAATTAACTTGCATTAAAAGAATTTCCTAGCCATGGGCACATTTTTAATATAAGTCTATTAGCAAGCTAAAGAATAACTTGGAAGCAGAGAATGCCAGGTGTTTAGCATACACTACCACTCAGTTTGCACGAATCTGTCAACATTTAATGCAAGTTATCTGTTAGTACTGTCCCTGTCACTGAAAATGATTGTTAAATTGCCACAGAGGGGGGAAAATCCTTACAGCCAGCATAGTGCACTTTAAACAAGTTACATAATATATACAAACATATGTAAACACTGTCAGACATAAGCCAAACATTGCACTCTGAGAGAGTTAGGAGCCTTCTGCTGAAGCATATGATTCAAGACTGTGAGATATGTTAAATGCAGGGCACAGTATGCACAGATCTGAGTTACTTAAAAGTATACACCAACATTTGAAGACATTATTCTTTAATAAGGTGTTGTCCTTGAAGACAAAAATCATCTCAATGAAGGGGAAAGAAACAGGAAATGAGATGAGAATTCCAGGAGCTATTTAAAATAATTTCATGTCACACAATGACTTTATTTATTATTGCTCCACAAAGAGAGTGGCTTATCACCCCTTGTGTCCTTTTCTGTGAGGCTCCAGTTAGTCCTCTTGCCTCTACATACAGAACATTTGGGGGTGAAAAAGGAAGCTATTCAGAGTGGCAGTGACCCCAGGCCTGTGGCTAGGTCTTGGATGGCTCAGTCTGTGGTTCCGGAAGTCTGCAACAGAGACACTGGGCCCTTGTAGAAGTAGGAGCGTGTTCTTGAGAGAGGTTGTCTTCTGAGGACAACATCTGATTCTCAAAGTTTTGTTTTTGTTTTCATGTAAATGTGACATTTTCAAGGGCTTATGTTACTTCATTTCTTTACTTCCCAGAAGGAACCCAAGCCAAATTTGGACCTTAATCTGGATGGGACATTTGGGCTCTTTGGTCATGAAGAAATGGCCGGGAGAGCATCTGCTTGAACAGAAGGTAGAGACAGGTAGAGAGAGGGAATCTCAGGCCCAGCCTAGAAGATTCTCTCAATAGATTTCCAGGCTCCTTCCAGAACCTCCATTTGAATCAAGCCCCAAGTTCTGCTCTGACCCAGCCTCATTAGAGACTTGAGTCAGGCCTCTCATACTTTCTCTAGAACCCCAGACTTTATTTGAACCCTGCCTCCTAATATACCTCCAAGAATCTTTTCTGATCCTGCTTCTAATAGACTCCTCAGGCCCCACCCTGACTCTGCATTCTAATAGGCCCAAGGTCCCTCCCTGACACTACGTTGTGCCCTAAAAGATCAAGAGAAAGGTTCTGCTAAATGATCACTGAAGCAACTTAAATTGAGCCACTGGTTAGAGCACACTCCTACCTTTATATCCTCCGGATTGATTTCAGGGTTTGTTTGACATCGTAGAGGTCCCAGAGTTTGAAGATGAAAAATATAGAGGAGAAACTCATCCCTTGCAGAGAATGGCCAGCCCACTTCAAGAATGGTGTCACTGATGGTACTGGGTCCAATATTGTGCAACTGCAAGAAGGTGACACATTAGGAAATGTAGTTCAACTCTGTCTGTCATGTATCTATTTTGAAAAGCACATGTTATTGGCTTTGACTATGGCAGTAGGAACTAGAACATAGAGTCCACCCAGGCAGGAGGAGCCCCGAATTCCCTTTGTGAAGATGTTCAGGGAAGACTCTGTTTGCAAAGTTGTGGACAGCGGTTGCCCAAAGACTGTGTAGATGAAGCAATTCATATCACAAATGCCTGGAACCAGAAGCATTTTAAACTTCAGAGTACTGCATAATGTAAAATCTCAGGGACAGGACCCTACTGTAAACACAAGATTATTGATACTTCAGATACACCTTATTATGCATAGTTGAAAGCAAACTTTTAGGTACTTTTACTTATTTATTTTAAGTATATTTGTGCATGTGCAGGCACCTATACACATATATGCCTGTGAAGGCCTGAGGTTGGCATCAGCTGTCTTCCTGGATTGCTTTCACCTTAAGTATTGAGATAGTCTCTTACTTGATCTCAGAGCTCACTGCTATGCGGCTGACCTAATTATTCAGCTTGCTCCAGGGATCTTCTGTCTCTGTTTCCTAAACACTTTGATGACAACCAGGTTGCCACACACACATGGCAAGGCTCTACCCACTGAGCCAACTGTCCCAGTCCATAATAAGTGTTTTTCAATGTGCTTGTGTTTTGACTATGTATGATCTGTCCCATGAGGTCAGGTGTGGTATTTTCTGCTTCAAAACAATTGAACTTTGTAGCACATTTTGTTGTTTTCAGATTTAAAAGGCCCCATCTGGGCTCACTGTGTGCAACCACTGCTATGCTTACCTTGAATTTATGTAAATGTAACAGTAGCACTAGAAATGCTATTTTAATTATAGGCTTCCCAAGTGTAGTCATCCTTTCTTTACATTTGGAATTTGCCTCCTCCTGCCTCACTACTGACTTGTCAATTGCAACCATATGTGATGCACTCTCTTTCACCCTCTGGGAAGATGGCCATCCATCAGGCGCCAAGGCCAGTCTGTGCGTCCTAGAAGTCTCTGCCAGTGAGTGTTTCAAAGCTGAGACTCTGGTATGTTGTCATTAACCAATCCCAGAGAAAGGAAGGTGACATCCCATGACGACAAACATTTTAAACACGTGAATTCTACTCAGAGGACACAGACCCCTTCCCCCCAAACACTCGGCACATTGGAAGGAATTATGAGTTTACAAATTCTCTTTAAAATTAGTAGACATCTTGGTGCCCCTTAGTTCTGACAATTATCATCAAAATCTATAAAGCAACATTTTTGTCTATTTTTGTTTGTTTTCTTTTTGCTTATTTGATGACCTGCTTAATTCACATTGTTAAAGGAGTATGGCATCCACTAACATAGCATATTATGAAGCTTGAGATTAGTGTGTAAGAAATATTTGGTGATTTGGTGGGCATCCTGGGGACTGCATTAAACTTTTATGATGTTTATGCTAATCCTAGAAGCAGGGCTGCTCAGAAATGATTGAATCTGAACATTTTCCCAAACTTTGAAGTTTTACCATTCTTAAGAGGAAATTGGCTCACACGGTTAATGAATAATTCCACTGCTTGCTATTTTCCCTGTGAAGTTCTTGACCTGAGTTACGCGGGGACAGGCAGTCCTTTTGTTATCGGAAGAGTCTGAGCTCAGGCCAGGGCTTCTGAAGATACAGATGAAGCAAGCTTTTATGCCACAAATACTCAGGAGTTATCACTTCTTCCCCATGGATGAAGAGATCAAGTTTGGGAATGTCTTCATTGTTAACCCTGGGGAAGCTCTTCATAGCCCTTTGTGATGGACAGTGTTAACTTGTCAGCTGGACAGAAGCTAGAATCACCTGAGACATGGGCCGGCCCATGGGGGATTATCTTGCCCTGCATTGATGTGGGAAGGTCTGTTTTTAATTAATTGTGGGTGGGACTATTTCCCCTGGGCTGTATAAATGAGGGACATGGACTGAGCATGCATTTCTCTCTGACTCCTGAGTGTAGATGCAATGTGACCAGCTAGACTCCAGTGCCTGCCACTATGTCCTCCTTGCCTGCTGCTGTGTCTTTCCTGCCATGATGAACTGTATTCCTCTAGAACTATAAACTAAAGCAAACCCTCTTCCCCTAAGTCGCTGTTGTTAGTGTATTTTATTACAGCAATGAAAAAGTAACTAATACATTCTTGTCACAAGATGAAAGTCATATTCAGAAATAAAATGACCCCTAATGAAATTATGCTGTAACCTTAGATCAGTGTCTTACTCATCCATCATCAGAGAAGCTTCCTCCTGCAGTGGATGGGATCAGATACAGAGACCCACACCTGGACAATGTGCAGAGAGTGAGACTTGGAACACTCAGTCTTAAATGGGATGTTTCTCTCCATTAGCTCCTCCCCCCACATGCCCCACCCCTCCACCCAAGGTTAGAGGGTGCTGTAGAAGAGGAGGTAAAAAGATTATAAGAGCCAGACGTGGTGGAGGACACCGAGGCAACAAGGGCTTCCAAACACAACAGGATTGACACACATAGGAACTCACAGACACTGTGGCAGTGTGTACAGTCCCTACATGGGTCCTTGCCAGGTGGGATCCCAGCACTGAGAAAGGACATGGACACAAGCTCCCTTACCTAATCTTGAAGCTACCTCCAACTGATAATCATTTGCCAATAAAAAATGAGTTTTTTTCAATGGAGTCTCACTGTGCATAGAAACCACTCTTAAGGCCAGGCCCCATGCCCAGCTGTAGATGGGCAACACCTAACAAACTCAAAGGCATTTTGAAGTTCTTTGTGTCATAATGCTTTCTTTGTCAAGGCTTTTTCTTCTTTCCTTACAAGTCCTTTGCATATACCGGTTTCTTGTTTTGTGTATTTATGGGATTTCTCCATGTACAAATGTATATGTCCTGGGCCTATATATGTTTCTTGAACTTTTTCTTTGGCTCTTACTTGTTCTGATCGTTTGTTTTTATTTTTTCAAATTTTATTTTATTACTGTTTCAAATGCCTGTTTGTATTCTAATGAGAGAGAAAGGAAGAAAGGATATGGATTTGAGTATGTGGGGCAGTGAGGAGAATCTGGGAGGAGCTGAAGGAGAGGAAACTATGATCAGAATATATTGCATTATAATCTATTTTCAATTGAAAAGAAGTCATATTCAGAACAATTGGTTCAGTGGCATGAAGGAACAGAGAATGAATGGAGAAGGGATCCTAATCAGAAAGTTGAGTGGAACTTCATTTTACTGAAATTCCTTGCTGGGTCCCCTGGAAATGAATTACTACATGACTAATGGGATTAACTTTCGAGAAAAAACTAAATACTGCTAAGTTAAGCCTCTGTCATATGTTTATTTTTTCTTTAAATTTAAATGTTTTAGGTAACATGTCCATAAATGATCCCACTATTAACAGTTTAAGACTGTGTGGAAAAAGGACACCAGGATCTTTCTGGTGGAATGCTGTTGCCTCCGAAGACAGTTGGCTAATCCATGGAGTATTCAGATCTCAGAAAAACGTATTCATTTTTTATTTCAGTTACACAAATCACAAAGTAAAGTTATTCTATCATGTTCTTGCCCCCTAAACTGTATCTGTATTGTGGCACAATAATGAATAATTCATAGAGTATTCTAATAGTAGCTTATAGTTAAGGACATTTAGTTTATATATAGGTAAGTTTAAAGATATCTGAAAATGTGAATATAAGGAAATACAATCAACGGAGGTAGGTGGGTTTTTTATGCATAGGCTATCCAAATATTAAGTGGAGAACAAATAACATTTTTTAATGACCACTTAATAAGATAAAGTGTGTCTTGCCAGGCAATAGATCTCACCACTGAGGACTGAGTGTTCATGTCTCTGGTTAGTTATTCAGCACGGCACCCATTGGCAGTCATTATATCCATCATAGCACAAGTACTGGGACCTGAGGTTCTATGAAGTTCTTATTAGTGAAGAGGACACCAATAAAACCTTAAAAATTTTAATATAAGAAATAACTATCTTGGGCTGAACAGATGGTTCAGTAGTTAAGAGCATTGGCTACTCTTCTAGTGGACCTGAGTTTAGTCCCCAGCATCCACAAGGCAGTTTACAACCTCCAGTAAAGAGGGTCAGCTGCCACTTTCCGGCCTCCACACCCACCAGATACACATGCTGTGCATATATATATATATATATATATATATATATATATATATATATATATCCCCAAAACACATACATTAACAAACTAATAAGAAAGAAATAGATACCTCATAAATATGTTCCACCAAAGGACCAACTTCCTCCTCCTTGTGAGGCTCCTCTTCTGGTTCCCAGCTGTGGATGGGCAGAACAATCTGCGGAGGGTGGGACACTCTGGAATATGGGATATCAGGCTGATTACTGATGCGGGCATACTAAGGATGCCTTCCTTGCATACTGACATATAGTTACATGTGTTACAAAGGAAGCAAACTGCTCTCCAGTTTTTCTGAGGATATATCTGACACATGGTCAGACACTGATAGAAAGACTTGGTGAAATGACTGTGGGAATAGTAGAGACTCGGAAGCACTGCATGTTCTTATTTCCTGGCCTAGAGTACAGCCACTGTTTACAGCCTTGTGCATCTGAGACACTAGGGAGCAGAGTAGAGAGCATGTTTGAATGGACAAGAACAACTGGACACACGTATGCACATTCAAAAAGTCTGCTGTTATCTACTCTTTATCGGCATGTGTATGTGTCTCTGGGCATGGGGGTCATAATCCTTGCTTTAATTCAGAGTAAGGAAGTGTGTGTGTGTGTGTGTGTGTGTGTGTGTTTGTGTAAACACGTTTAGACTCGTGTGAGATTTATTCAATATCTAGTTGGGAAGAAATACAGTTTCTGGTTAAAGAGGTCTGCACAGAACAGTGGTCACTCTGTATGTGTTCCTTCTGTGTGATTCCTTTGCTTCTGGTTCCTGCGTGGAGTAGAGCCAGACTCAGGGGCAGATATGATCAAGTATGACAAAGCCTAGAGTTGTCCTGGGACAAGAGAGGCAGAGCCAAGTGTTGTCATCATTGAAATTAACTAGACATTTCCAGTGTACACATAGACAAACTTGATGAGTTGATGAGTGAGATTTAGTTTGTGACATCTTGTGTACCTGTGTGTGTGTGTGTGTGTTTACGCACCCGCGTGTGCGCGCATGATGTGTGTGTGTGTGTACATGCGTGATGTGTGGTGTGGGCATGTATGTGCATGTTCATATGTACTCCCCTCTCCTGGGGGAAGCAGAGGCCAGAGCTTGATGCTGAGATGTCATCCTCAATTGCTTCTCCACCTTATATTTGAGACAGGACAGCTCACTGAACCTTGCATTCGTGTTTTGGCTGTGCTGGGCTGGCTCAGCAGCAAGCTCCTGGAATCCACCCATCTCTGCAGTTCTGTGTTGGGGTTTGGGGAGTTTGCATAGCCACACACAGTCCTTTCCACGGATTCTTAGGATCCAAATTCAGGTCCTTATCTGTACAGCAAGCACTTTACCTTGAGTCACTTCCCATTCCCCAAAGTGAATGCTAAAAGATACTGCTTTCTAGAATCTTATTGGGAAAAGGCATCTTTGAAAGAATCCCTCAATTTTAAGTGAAATATAATTTCAACAGAACAAATCACTACAAACTCTGCTTTAGGAATATTCAGTAATTATTGCAGCCTCTAGCAATTCAAACATTTTTTTCTTCTAGATCCATCAATCTATTAAGGGCTCATTCCTCTTTATTCTTGAATAATATTCCTTTGTGTGGTTTGTTTACCATTGACTCACTGGAAACCATTTGGGTTGTTTACAGTTTGGGACTATTACAAATAAATTCCTATAAACATTTATATAGAAGTTTCTGTGTAAACTTAAGTTTTCATTTTCTGGGAATAAAATATTTTCTGGAATAAAAAGCAGTTTTGATAAGTTGAAGTTTGCTTGCTGTCAGGGACTTAAAAACCAAGGATTTGGTTTTATATGATGTATAATCTTTTTAAGAAAATAGTAGGGCTTGCCTTCAATTTCTATTAATTCCAAAAATGTATTGTCTTGAATAAGGTAGGTTGACCCTACCTTTTATGAATAGTATCTTATATAGACAGGCTTTGGCTATTCATGGGTTTTCTCTTTTTAAATTTTTCTTTTTATTATTAATTGTGTGTGTGTGCGTGTGTGCGTGTGTGTGTGTGTGTGTGTGTGTGTGTGTGTGTGTGTGTGCCATGGTATGGTATACCCATGGAGATCAGAGGACATCTTGTATGAATTAGTACTTCCCTTTTACCATTTTGGTGTTGATTCTGGGGATAATAATTGGGTCCTTAGGCTTGGCAGTAAGTACATTACTTGCTGCACCATATTGTGAGCCCTTCTTCCTCTCTTAATACAGCCTGTCCCACTGGACTATTCCTAAAAGTCTGCGTATTTTGGTAATTCTTCATGAACCTAATATATATATAGTGTTGCTACTGACAGCTAAGTTTACTTAGTGCATATCTGTGTGTTAAATCAATCCTTTGTCCTAATGAATTGTATGCCAACTGGCTCAAGACATTGTTGATGCTGTGCAGTACTGAGTCAAATGGACTCAGTTCTAAGAACTCCTACACACTCAAAATACTCTACTTAAGATTATTTTAGCCATCCAGGAAATGCAAATCAAAACAACTCTGAGATACCATCTCTCTCCTGTCAGAATGGCTAAAATCAAAAACACCAATGACAATTTATGCTGGAGAGGATGTGGTGAAAGAGGGACACTCCTCTATTGCCTGTGGGAGTGCCAACTGGTTCAGCCACTTTGGAAATCAGTATGGAGATTCCTCAGAAAAATGGGAATAAACCTACCACAAGACCCAGCAACTCCACTCTTAGGCATATATCCAAAAGATTCACATTCATACAACAAAGATGTCTGTTCCACTATGTTCATAGCAGCTTTATTTGTAATAGCCAGAACTTGGAAGCAACCTAGATGTCCCTCAACTGAAGAGTGGATAGAGAAAATGTGGTACATCTACACAATGGTGTACTATTCAGCAGAAAAAAGTAATGGAATCATGAGATTCGCAGGCAAATGGATGACACTAGAAGAAACCATCCTGAGTGAGGTAACCCAGTCACAAAAAGAGAAACATGGCATGTACTCTCTCATATATGGATTTTAGACATAGATCTGGGGAGTGCCAGCCTACAATCCTATGGCCAGAGAGTCTGGGAAACGGAAACTTCATTTAGTGGCTGATCGAAGAAGAGGCAGACTCCCTTGGTTAAGTACTGAGCTGAACTCAAGAAAGCCAGTAACAGAGAGGGAGGACTGATGATCAAAGGGATTAAGACTGGGCTGGTTTAACCCCCAGAAACAGCTGACCAGACAAAGGTTAACTCTTGAATCCCAGGCATCAGCCTGGGAATCCAGCATGGAACTGATCAAGACCCCCTGAATCTGGGTGTCAGTGAGGAGGCCAAGTAATCTATTGAGCCTTGGGCAGCAGATCAGTACCCATCCCAAGTATACACACGGACTTTGGACTCCCATAGAACAATGTGAGGTGCACTCTCACCCTGAACTCTTGGGGAAGGGTCCAGGCCCTGCCCTATATGAAATGACAGACTATGGACACCCCCATGGAGGGCCTCACCCTCCCTGGGGGAATGAGGGGATAATGGGGGGGGGTTGGGGGTAGGGCACGGGAGGAGGGGAGGGAAAGGGAGAGGGACCTGGAACTGACTTGTGAAGCAACCTTGTTTCTTATCTAAATTTAAACTGGAAAATAAAAAAAAAGATTATTTTAAGCTACAAAACAACAACAAATAAAAATGGCCTTAACATAGTACACAATAAAGTAGCTCAGAATAAACACCATTGACCAAAAGAAAACTAGATTTTCCTAAACGCTAACATGGAAGATCTTCAACACAGCAACTATTTGTTCTTGAAGAATTAAACATTGGAACCAATGTTTTAAAAGCATAATCAGAGGATAGAGTTTCTCTATGTGATATGGCCAAAAAGAACTTCTACACTGTCAGAGAATAAACTGTTGTCAATTGTTGGACATTAATGTAGCAATTAAAACAACAGCATTCACACGAGAAGTCTGGTTTTAATTAGTTGTTTGGATTGCTGACAACAATGAATAGGAATTCCCCCTTTTCACTGTAACTGATGGCAGTAATACACCTGAAAACATTAATTCCGTAAGATGAATGTGTGAGAATGAAGGCAGGTACAACGTTTCAAGTGACTTGGAATTACCTATACATTATTGAATATGAAAAAATTTTCCTCATTTAAATTTATTTACAAAACAATTTAAATTTAGAATTACAAGACAGATCATACATATGGCATTGTTGTTATTATTATTATTGGTTTTATGAGACAGGGTTTCTCTGTATAGCTCTGGCTGTTCTGGAACTTGCTCTGTAGATCAGCCTGGCCTCAAACTCAGAGATCTGCTTGCTTTTGCATTCTTCTGCCTCTGCCTCCCATGTGATGTGATTAAAGTATGCACTGCTATGCCTGGCTTAGATTTATACAATTTTTTGGTTAGCAAAACTAAAATAAACTACAGGGTGTTGGTGGCACAGATCTGTAATCCCAGATACTCACAGGCCTGTAATTCTAGCTACTCAAGAGAGTGAGGCAACAGGACTGAAAGTTCAATAGTTACAGAGTGAGTGAGTTCAAGGCCCACCTTGGAAACTTAGTGAATTCTGCTTCAAAAGAAAAAGTAGAAAGAAGCGTAAGGAGGTCTCTGCATGACAATGTTACTTAGCATGCCCAGGGTCCTAGGTTCAATCCTAGCACTGTGAAAAACAAGCACATCCCAACGAATGCAAATAAAAAAAAATGTCAAAACTCTTAGATGAGCATAGGGAGATGAGATGAGGGCTCATGAAAACAGTAAAAATTAATGCTTCTTTTATTATTTAATTATTTTCTTCTTTGAGCTTTTAAAACCGTGGTTCTTTGAGAAAGAGACAAGGGAATGAAATGAAATTAAAACTCAACAAAAAATAAAACAATCCTAACTTGTAACTCCACATCACGGTACTTCAAGTTAGTCACTGCTCTTGAGTCTGATGAAACAGAGAAATCAGAAAGCAAATAAGAAAATATTTAGAACTGAAGTCTAAGGAAACCCAACAGCAGCAGCTTATAATGTTGTTAAAGTCATTCTTTTTTTTTTCTCAATCTTGTGTGTGCATGTGTGTATAAGTATTTATGTGTGTGTTGTGTGTGTGCACATGATTATATGAGTATGTATGGATGTTTGTTCATATATGTAAATGAGTGGCATATACTTGTGTATGTGTTCCTATATGTGTATATATGTATGTGGATCCC